GGGTTTGTAACCTGGGACATTAGTGTTTAAAAACATACTGGTGCCTGAGCCCTACCTGCAGAGGTTGAAGTGCCACTGGTGTTAAGCAGGGCTGGGCCTTTGTGTGTTTTTGTGAAGATTCCCAGGATATTCCGACGTGCAGCCAGTGCTGACGCCAGGGGACCGAGGGCCGCCCTGCAGCGTGAGAGGCTGTGGGGACCACCGGTGCTGAGATCAAATGCTGCTGGACTCTTGCCTCCGCAGGGCAAAGTCAGCATTGTGTTCCCACACACCGCCATGGCTGCTAGGCTCTAAAAAAAAAAAGAAAGAAAAATGTAAAAGTAGTCTACAGTCAAGGAGAAAATGGGGCTTTCTTCTGTCACTCCATCACCTTCTCAGTGGTAGAGTCAGCTGGAAACAGGCAGAAACGGTCCAGAGAGGAGGCCACATGGGAGCTGTAGCCTAAGATGTATCCTAAACCCTGTTATCAGGCCCAGAGCAGACTCAGGAACTAAGTCAAGGCCATACGTGAAGCCTTTGCAGAGGGAGAGGAGGACATTGTACGGAAACCGAGATTTCCACTCTCCCTTGCCGACTTCTGACGGGCAGTCTGTCTGGGAAAGTTTGTGTGAAGGCCAAGTCTATGACTAAACTAGGAGCTCTTTGTGTCCCAGAACGATCGCTCCTGCCCCTTTTCTTGGGCAGTAAATAACTCTCGGCTTGGAAAAACAAGCCCTGGTGACACGTTCCCGGTGGCTGTGGGAGGGGCAGAGTCTGAACGTCCGAGTGCAGGACTCGGAGCTCCGGGCCTCGCGGGGCCCTCCAGACTCAGGCTTCCTTGCGGCAGAGGCTGGCGGGACTGTGGCCGTGTGAGAGTGACCAAGGTCCTAGGAGCAACAAGGAAGGGTCCTAGGTCTTGGAGAGACTTCCGTGGTGGTCCACTGAGCCCCCTATTCATGGGAGATGTACCCCACCGCTGCGGGGAGTGTTGGTGCTCCTGACTCACAGCGGTGACCCTTGGTGGCCAGGCCTTACCCAGGAAGGAACTGTTACCCAACCCAAGGGGTGTGCTGCCTGGGGTGCTGCTCTGTTCCAGAACGCAACATGGCCCTAGCCAGCTGGCCCAGTGGGTCAGAGTGTCGTCCGGATACGCCAAGGTTGCAGGTTCAGTCCCTGGTCAGGGCACACACAAGAATCATCCAATGCATTTGTCACTAAGTGGAACAACAAATCCATGTTTCTCTCTCTCCCTCTCCCTTTCTCTCATTCTCTTGAAAATCAATTTAAAATAATATTAAAACAACAACAACAACAAAGATTGAGATGTGGTTGTCATTAGGTAGTTTTATTTACTTGCAGCAAATAAAGGAGTCAGAGGACTCACATCCAAAGCTCTATCTCCTGAAGGAAGCCTTAGCCATTGCTTGTGTACACTGTTTGGTTAGTAACATGTTGGCTTCTTCCTTCAGTTGGCTACACTCATCCTGTTAGGTTAGCTCAAGCTCATCCTCTGCCAAGTCCTGCTACATTTTAACATTTAGCAAGAATAATGTTTAGTAATATCCACCCAAACCTTGAGACCCTTGTCCTGTCTAAGGGAACGTCACTGCCTCAGGCTACTCCCATTTTCAGGAGGTGGCTGAGGCTGGCATCCCAGCGGCCTACCCTTCCCCTCAGCCCGGGACACCCGACTTTGGAGCTTCTTAGAGCACGGGGTGCCTCAGTCGCCCTTGCGTGGCTGGGTCAGCTCCTTCCGCTCCACTGCCCTGTTGTTCTCCCTCCCTCTTGGGCAGATCTCCTGAGCTGAGCACACTCTCAATACGCCATCAGCATGCGCCCTGGCTGGTGCGGCTCATGGATTGAGTGCCAGCCTGTAAACTAAAGGGTCGCTGGTTCGATTCCCAGTCAGGTCACTGCCTGGGTTGTGGGCCAGGTCCCTGGCTGGGGGCATGCGAGAGGCAACCGATGAAAGTTTCTCTCACACATCGATGTTTCTTTCCCTCTCTTTCTCCCTCCCTTCCCCTCTGTCTAAAAAACAATAAGTAAAATCTTAAAAAAAAATAAATAAACCATCTGCATGCAACCCTCCATCACAGGGCACTCAAGCCAAGGCGTGCGCTGTGACTTGCTTTGCAGTGGGGGTGAGGGGAGCTTTTTCTCAGGTGTAAATCTCTGGCGTTTCTTTTCCTTCTGACAGCGATGACCTTCCTAAGGAGACCTGGGGAGGACCGGTGGGACCACCAGTGACAAACCTGCAGTGACTCTAGAAATGTGCACCTGAAGTGGCCTGAGAGACAGACTGCAAAGGGATGCCAACGACCACAAAGGGGGCGTGTGAGAGGCGCTGCTGGGAGGAGACGGTGCGGGATCAGCAGACGCGGAGAGAAAGTTGGAAGCGGGTCAAGGAAGAGCCGGCAGAGAACTTTCTTCAGAGGAGAGATTTCTGTTTAATTTCCTGGATTAGTTACTTTTAATGGTTTTAAAAAAATCCACATTGTTAATTTGCTGCCGAGCCTTTGTAATTTGAGAGCTCCGGGCTGGCAGGGGAGGGCGGGGGTGGCTGCAGACGAGGCAGAGTTGGGTCTCCTGATGTGCGCCTGCGGGGGAGGCCCCACCTGTGTGTACAATGTACTTAAAGGATTAGAGCCAACTTGGAAATTATGATATGTTTTACCTCGAGTAAGTACCTTATTCTTTAAGCTCCTATTTCCTTGAAGGAGGGGGCCAGAAATGCATCCGTGCTCTCTGGGAATAGGTGCAGGAGACACCCCGCTGGCGGGAATTCGCGACGGTTGACGGGCAGGCAGAGGAGGGCTGCGTTATTTATGTATTTTATGTTCAACGTATTTTCAGTACTTGTGATTGGGATTCAGTGCTTGTGAACGAAGGTGGCGTTTTCAGGGAGGTGCAGGTGCCAGGGGCTGGCGGGCGGTCACAGGCGGAGGGGCCCGCGGCAGCGAGAGGGGCCTTCCCAAAGATTATCACAGTCTGCGTTCCGGTCGGGGCCTTCAGGAAATGTAAGTAAATGCCCCATGCTCTCTATTTAAACAAAAGATGTTTCAGGCTGGGGCAGGTGAGCATTAAACTGAAGACAGAAACTTCTGTCCCCGCCCCAGGATTTGCTGGGAGCAGAGGTCAGTGCGTGTATAAAAGAATGACCATCTTCTGTTTCAGCTAAGCTACTGCTTTTCATTATTTGTTCTCCACGGATCTGTCTCAGGCAGGAGGAGGGTGGGAGAACATGCTACCGAGGAACACGTTTAAGCTCAGTAACATGCGGTTTTTAAGAAACAAAACCACACACAGACATGTCTAATACAGACATCGTCCTTTATTTTAAAAACACTCATGTTGCAAAAAGTATATAGAAAAATACAGTTTGGTTGGGGTGCTTTATTAAACTTCAAGTCGCAGACCTTGATATGCTATAGATGGGAGCAGGGTTTGTTATGCACGTGGAGAACCCGAGCTCATTTATTACGCGGGACCGAAAACAGGCCGTGCAGGGGGCGCGGCGTGCGGTGCCCCCCCTCCCGTTCTCCCCCGGATACCGACGCACTTCAAATGCTGCCCTACCAGTTCAGGCGCCGAGTGACTCCATCCAGCGGGGGAAAGGCAAGATGGGTGCACGAACCAAGTAATTTTAAACAAAGACTTTTATTTTTCTGCAACACAATATATATCACAGTAAAATGTTTAATACTTGCAGAATCACCGGTTCCAAGAATTAGATTCAGAAGGTGGGGAGAGAAAGGGACATCGCAGAGAGCGAGCGCGGAGCAGCGCCTAGGAGGCGCGCGGGCAGGAGCCGGCTTAGGCCAGGCTGCCCTCTCCGCCCCGGACTCTGTCAGCAGCACGTGGCATCTTACAGAACTTCAACGTGGAGCCTGAACGATAGAAAGTGGGGCTAACGGGCCAGCTTTCTACCAACTTGGGCAGTTTTGCCACCAACAATAAATGGGCCCTTTTAATAGGAGGAAATTGAAATGTTTCTCACTAAAGAGACGTAAGTGGTGGGACCAAGAGATTTCCAGGCCCCAGAGTACCTGTTAGTAGCTGGCTCTCCTAATTCTGATGTCTCCCTCCCAGGTCACCTGAGAAGACAGGGCGAAAACAGAAGGCGGGACACACGTCTCCTTCGCCCTCTTCTCCGTCTCTCTGAAGTCACCAGGTGTCTCACTTTGGGGGCCCATTTTTTTTAGTATAGGCATTCAACACAGTTCCCAACGCATTTGGATAGATTTTGTTTTGTGATGGAAGTCCCTCGAATGTCGTGTTTTGAAAACTTTCTTTTTCTTAGCTTCCTCCTGCAAAGTGTTCTCAGGCCCGTTGGCTTGACCAAGGGACCCGGCCCTCTAGTGCCCAGGCCGTCTGCCCTCCCGAGCCGCCCTGGAGCCTGCCACTTCCGCTGGACAGCTCCACGGTGCGGGGCACTGACCCGCGCTTTGCGCCGTGGCCCCTTGCGTGTGAAAGCCCCTCCTCTTACCTCCTCTGCCTGCAGGGATCCCAAAGAATTGTCAGCCTTTGAACTGTAACAACAGCCACCAGAAAGCCCTATAAAAGCAGCAGTGACCTTCTGGAGCTGTCAAATCTTTAAATAGGACTTGGGATTTAATGCTGTATATTTTTAAAAGAAAAAAAATAAGAATTGTTAGATACCAAAAATGCATGTCTGTTAGCCAGTCCAGAATCTGGCCTCCCCCTTTTTTTAACCCAGGAAAGATAAAGTTTGGGGGCAGGGGGGACAGACCAGATCTCAGGCTAAATAAGGAAGGCATATGTTAGGTGCAGCCAGACTGAAAGTCTGGACTGAAAAGAAGCCACTCGTTCTGTGGGTGATTGTGGTGGAAAAGGAACAAAAACATGTAAGAAGGCAGGCGTGTAAAGAATTATGGGATCTGTCACGATGTAGTATGCATTATATAGCCTGAGAACTACAGGAACCCGCTCATTCTAAATCCTCAGGCCCAGGGCAAAGATCCAGAAGAGGTTTTTTTGGTTGTTTGGTTTGTTTGTTTTTTTTTACCTTTTGCTAATAAAATTGCAATGTCCCCAGCAGCAGTGTGGAGACTGCTCCTTTGGCTTCTGTCTTGGACATATGGAGACTCATACGGCCTAAGCCCGCTTCTTACAGTAGTGTTCTGTTTCTACAGCTTGTCTTACACCCACAGTGAGTGCTTCTTGGTCTACTTGGGCCACACTGCACACACCTCGGTTGCCGTACTCTTGAAAAAGGCATAAGCAGCAGCTTATATTTCCATCTCCTCCTAATCTCCATAGCCCAAGCCAATGTGCGCTGAGCATGACCAGTTTCTCAGAGAGATCTTCTATTTCCCTCTCTCACAGGGACAGAGAGAAACTTGGGTCATATTCCAAAGCCAAAGAGGCTTTTGAGCTTAAGTCTAATTCAGTAGGTGACATCCTTGTCTTGGCCATCCTTTCTCAGGTTTGATCTCTCAGAGTCACTGCTCAGTTACCTCAGGGAACGAAGTTACAGGAACGAAATTCTCAGACGCAGTGTGGACCGCTTGGACAAAACCACAGTCAAGAGCGGGAAACCAGTTGACTTTACCCCTCTCCACTTCAAACAGGTCTCTCAAAGCAAAAATGACCTGCGTCGTGTGTTGGGGGGACTGTTCAGATATTAAATTATTCACTGGCCCAGATCTTTCCCTGGGCCACCAGTGAAGAATCTGGAATTTACACGCACACCTCCAACAGTGTGGTCTGCACGCCTCTTGCTCCCCAGCCCTCCCTGGCCTGGGCCCCTCTGGCCTTGTTGGAAAGGGCGCCTGGGGAAGGCAGTTTCGGATTGCACGTGGGTGGCTGTCGTCTGTGCTGGCAGCTACCAGAAAGCCGGGTGCCAGCTGCCCCAGCAGTACAGGTAGGGGTAGTGAGGGTAGCTGTGGTACAGAGAGAGAAAGGGCGCCCGGGAGAGGCCCTCCTCTCTCAGGGCTGGCAGGGGGGCGTGCTTCTCCAGGCCGCCCAGCTCCGAGGTGAGCTGCTTTCGCTTGGTCTTATAGCGTCTGTTCTGGAACCATATTTTCACCTGGGTCTCGGTGAGCTTGAGGTTCCTGGCCAGGTGAGCCCTTTCAGGGGCTGACAGGTACTTCTGGTGGCTGAACTTCCTCTCTAACTCCACCACCTGAGTGTGGGAGAAGGCGGCGCGGGAGCGCTTCTGCGGCTGCTTGGGAGCTTGGGCGAGGCTCGGGGAGCTGGCTGAAGTGTTTTCACAGTCCAACAGATAAGTCTCCAAGTGCCTATCTGGAAACAAGAGGGGAGAAGAAGGGCCGGGAAGGAAAAAGTTACATGTTAGCAGGGAAGAGGACAGAATTCAGTCCACCCTTATCTCCTCAGTGAGTGAACAAACAGCGCACTGTCATCTTCGATACATCTCACTTTTTTCGCATGACTAAGCAGCTGTAGGGAGTGGGGAGTGAGCGCATAGTTGTACTATGTGTTAGTTTTCTAATAGCCATCAAGAACCCAAAGTAACAGGCGGTCAGCGGAGGGACGTCCTGCCCTGGCGTTCAGTAGAATGAAGCAGGGGTTCTGGATCTGTGTACCGAGGAGGGGCGGCAGAAAGGAGGCAGGGAAGACACCGAGAAATAAAGTGCCCCGTGAAGAACCCAAAGGCATTTGGTGTCAACATCCGGGCGGCAAGAGCAGGCTTGTGTGACAGGAGAGGCTGTGAGGGATACACAGGCGCCTGCTCTGGCTTTAATACACCCCCCTACCCCCCCATACCACTTTTTTTTTTCCCCTAAACAAGCTGTAGGATGCCTCATATGGAGTGATGGGAAAGAAAAGAAATCTACTTTAAATGTCCCAACGGTGTCCTATGTCTTGAAGACAAGAGGGACCTCCCAGCTTGCTGTTTTACTGCTCCTGTGATTGGGAAAGGGGGCCTTTGCTCAGCAAATCCTAATGTAGTCACTTAAGTGATTATCAATTAGTTATTACACATTAGTTATTGTCGCTGCGAAGACGTAACGCAGGGCTGGCACCGATCAAGAGTCGCGGGGTGGTCAGGTGCCAGGGCCGGAGTTTCACCTGGGACTCTGGGGGTACAGTGGCGCTGCGCGCGCTCTGCCTTTTGAGCCTGAGAAGCTGGGAGCCAACCGAGCGCGGAGCACCGTGCGGGCGAGTCTACATCCTGCGCCACCTGGACGCTGGCGCTCAGGGTTAATATCAGAAGCGCGCCCGCGTCGGGAGGCAGTGCGGTCCCTCCGCCTGTCGCCGCGGGCCCCGCGTGTCTGCAGCCGGAGCTCCGGGAGGTGCGACTTGGGCCCGCCCTCACGCCCGCGCAGCCTGCAGGAGGTTCGACCTCTGCGGGACCCCACCCGGGCCAGCCGGGCCTCTCAGGCCTCGCGGGTTTACCTGGCTCGGTCTCCGCCGGCGACTCGGCCTCCCCGGGCGCGGCGCCGGGCCGAGGGCTCGGCTCATCCTCCTGCGCTCCGGCGACCCCACTTCCCCCCTGGGGCTCCGGCTCGGGGTGTCGCCCCGCGGCCCGCTGGTGCGGGGGCGGGGGCCGGGGCCGCGGGCTGTCCCTGTGGCTGCCGCGCCGCTCGCTGCTGTCCCGCAGGATGTCCTGGATGAGGAAGGAGGTGGGCGGCTTGGCCTGGGTGACCGCTCCCGCCTGCCCGGGCCGCGGCTCCGGAGCCCTGAGCATCCCGCTGGTTCGGCGGCACCCAAGACGCGACCAGCGGCTGCGCCTGCGGCCGCCGCCCCACTTTCACTTTCCGCCGCCCGCGCGCGCTTATAGCCCTGGGGGCGCGCGCCGCGCCGACTTCCCATTGGCCGCGGGGACTTGGCTCGCGCCACCGATTGGCCGCCCAGTGCTCCAGGTGAGGGGGCGGAAAAGGGAAGGCCTTCGCACAGTCTCGGGTCCCTCTCCCCTAGGAGGTTCCTTCCCGAATTCCTTCTTCTCTTCCCAGGCTGGCCTCCTCCGCTCTATGTCGTTGTCCCAGGCTGGGAGCGAAAACCACAGCGGGTCTCTTCTTCCCCGACACTCAACAGAATGTTTAGACACTTCTGGGGAATAATGGTGCAGAAGAGAAATACTCCATGTAGTTCTTACACAAGAGATTGTTGAAGCATCTTTACTCACGAAGAGATAGGTGGGGCAACGACCACCATTTCGGTTTCCCGGCGGGAATTCTGGGTGCCCCGTGACAAGGAGTAATCGGTAGCAAAGCTGAATCTACTAAGGTTCTCAAAGAGGCGTGACAACTAAGTGCCGTTCCTGACCCCGGGCTGGATTCTGTACTGGACATTATCGGGGCCACGGATGGAAGTGCAATGGCAATGATGGGTTACGGCATTGAACCAATGTGAAATTTACTGAAGGGACAACATTGTATAAATGAATGTTCTCAGAAAATAAACACTAACGTATGCAGGGACAAGGGCCCACGACGTATGTAGCTTACCCCCAAATGGTTCAGAAACAACGATCCAGATGGATCCATCCCCTCTGAGACAGGGAATGGGTCAAACTAGTAACAGCTGGAGAAACTGGTGTGCAGGTCATCTCTTGAACTATTTTTATTCGTGCCGCTTTTCTGTAGTTCTGGTCTAAGGAACCTTTCATTGGACTGTAAACTCTTCAAAAGGGTAGTTATGTAGTGTGTCTGGAGAGGAGAGATGGGAAGTAGGTTATTGTGGATGAAGCAGCTTGTGCAATGGGAAGGTCTTTGGCAAAGATCGTTTTCTTTTCTCATTTCAAAAACATTTAAACATTTTCTTTTGAAATAGTTATAGATTCACAGAAATGTGCAAAATTAGTACCCTCAGCTTCCCCCAATAATGACGTTATGTAACTGCACTACAATATAAAGACCAGGAAATTGACATCAGTACATGACTCTTAACTACACTACAGACCTTATTTTTTAATCATTTTTAAACCTGCATTCATTTATGTGTGTGTATTAGCTGTATGCGATTTTATCACATGTATAGATTCTTGTAAAGTTACAGCCAAGACACAGAGTTGTCCCATCAGCACAGAACCCCCTCTGCCAGCTCTGTGTTCATGTACCCAAACCCCCGCTCTCTAACCATGACCCCCGGCAACCGCTAATCTGTTCTCCGTCTCTAGAGTTTTACCATTTGGAGACTGTTATATAAATGAAATCAAAGATTGTACAGAATGTGGACTTTTGGAATTGGCTTTTATCGATAAGCATAATGCCCGGAGGTTCACTCAGATTGTTATTAATAGTTAATTTTTTTTTTATTGCTGAATGGTGTTATTTCATTGTACGGATCTACCAGAGTTTGTTCAACCATCTCCCCACTGAAGGACATTGATCTGTTTCCAGTTGTCTTGCTATTATGAATGAAAGTGCTATGAACTGTCATGTACAGGTTTTTCTGTGAACATGAGTTTTATTTCTCTGATAAATATCCAATAGTGCAACTGTTGGGCTGTATGGCAACTGTGTGTTTAGTTTGGTAAGAAGTTGTCAAACTATTTCCCAGAGTGACTGTACCATTTTAGATTTCCATCAGCGGTGTTTTAGAGTTCCAGTGTTTCTACATCCTGACCAGCATTTGGCATTATGATTATTTTTTATTTTAGCCATTCTAATAGGTGTGTAGTAATATATTATTGAGGTTTTAATTTTTAATTTGCATTTCCCAAATGGCTAATGATATTGAATATCTTTTCATGTGCCATCCATGTCAACTTATTGGTGAACTATCTGTTCAAATCCTTGCCCATGTTATAATTAATTTTTTTTTATTTTTGCTGTTGAGTTTTTAAAATTTTTTTATTTTTTAAAAGATTTTATTTATTCATTTTTAGAGAGAAGGGGAGGGAGGGAGAGAGGGAGAGAAACCTCAATGTATGAGAGATATATGAATCAGTTGCCTCTCACACGGCCCCGAACGGGGACCTGGTCCGCGAGGCAGGCATAAGCACGTGCCCTGACTGGGGACTGATCCGGCCACTCTTTGGGTCGCAGCCTGGTACTCAGTCCACCTAGCCAGGGCTGCTGTTCAGTTTTAATAGTTCTTTATATATTTTGTATGTAAACATTTGTTGAATGTGTGGTATGCAAATATTTTCTCCTAGTCTATACCTTATCATTTAAAAAAAATCTTTTTAACAGTGTATTTCACAAAACAAAAGTTTTTAGTTTTGGTAGAGTCGAATTTTTTTTGGTAGAGGACAATTTTCTATTTTACAGATTTTGCTCTTGGCGTCTTGTCTGAAAACCTCTCGCTTATCTCTAGGTACTGAAGATACTCCCCTGTGTTATCATCAAAGAGTTTTATATTTTACCTTCGAATCCATCGCTATTTCAAATTACTCTTTGTATATGGTGTGACGTTTATGTGGAGGGGGCCTCTTTTTACTTTTAAAATTTAGAGCTAGGTGGTATTTCAAATCAGTGGGGAAAATGGACTTATTTAATAATTAGGTCTGCCGTTTGGAAAAAATAACATTCCGTTCTTGCAACAAAATAAATCTGAGATGGCCACAAAATTTAAAACATAAACAGGCACATGGAAAAAAAAGTTTAACCGCACTCATCATGAGAGAAATGCAAATCAAAGCCACACTCAGATGCCCTTTTCCCACGTATCAGATTGGCAGAGGTTCAAAAGATGGATAATACCTAGTGCTAGTGGTTTGGGGAGGAACGGTTGTTCCCACACCAATTTGGAGGGAGAGTAAATAAGCTCCCTGTATTTGAATGATGGCAAAGTCTGTCAAAATTAAAACTGGGCATATTCTTTGACACAAATATTCCATGCTTAGAGATTTGCCCTCAAAATATCCAAATACACATGGTACTGACTTGTAAAAACATCCTCAGTTTGGTCAGAGACCGATGGAGTTGCAAAAGAAAAAGTTATAGAATGAACCTATTGTGTAAAAAAAAAACAAACAAACCGGTTACAAGTTATCAATATAGTGCATTACATTTGAGCATTTTAACATGTAGAATACAGCTGGCAGGATTTCAATACCTCAGTGGGGCAGTTGCCGCTCGTCAGTGAGGGGGAGACGGCAGATTGGAGGAAGGACAGAGGAAGAGCAGAGCAAGCGGCATTTCCTTGTATTAGTTTACAATCAAAGAAATAAATGCAGAGCTGGCACTGAGCCTGGGCTCCCCTCTCCCGCCGCCACCTCCTCCGATCTCGAACGCGCCCTCAGAACGCGGATGCGCCCACAGCACTTGCCTGCACGTCTTCCCGTTTGTGCGTCTGGGTGTTCCTGTCGATGGGCCCCCTTCTTCCTTAGGCGGAGAGCTGTCTGAGCAGCACTGTCTCACCCTCGCATTTCTATCGTCCCCGATACCTGACACAGTTTTTGGCACCCGAAGGCACTCAGTACGTGTCTGCTGGCTGGCCGTGCGGCTCCCGGCACCACGCGCACCTCGCTGGCAGGCAGCATTATTCATAAAGGAGCCCAGGACCAAGGCCAAACCCAGAGTAAGGCCTGCGCTCTTCCCTGGGCCGTGTCTTCCGCAGCGCAGGCGGGTGACATGGCCAAGGGCAGTGAAGAAGATAGAAAAGGCGCTGTGGGGGGCCCCTTTCTACGGAATAGAACCTCCGAGAAGAAGGTCTCCCCTCCCCCCACGGCTGCTCCTCCCCAATCCCTGTAATTTGTGAATGTGCTCTGCCAAAAAACAAGGGGGAGTCAAGTTGCAGATGAAATTAAAGTTGCTTATCACCTGACCGTGAGGTGAGAAGGTGATTCTGGATTACCCAGGTGGCGCTGACGGAAGGGGCGCATCCTTGTGCGTCACGGGGCAGGCAGAGTCGGTCAGAGGGGGTGAGACACTGAAGCCAGGTTAGGGTGACGGGAGGTGAGAAGGGCTCACCCGGCCTTTGCTGGCTTTGCAGGTGGAGGGGGAGCGGGGCGGGAGCCAAGGGATGCGCCGGCCTCCGGGGGCCGGAGAAGGCAAGAATCGGGCTCTCCTCTAGAGCCTCCAGAAGGACCACAGCTCCGCGGACGCCTGGATTTGAGCCCAATGAGACCCATTTTGGGCTTCTGACCCTTAGAAATTCAAACAGGGTATTTATAAAAGGGTGCAGAAGTGACGCGAGGTGGACTACCAGCTCTGCCCTGACGCGAACTTTGGGTCTTTTTTAAAAAATTTGAAATATACTTTTTGACCCATAATCTCATTCCTTCATCAAGCTTCTTCTTTGTATATTTTCTTCCAGTAGAATAAGTGTAATTTTGTATCCTGTTTTTCCTTCCCACTTCATATCATATTATATCATAAGCATGTATATGAGTATATTACTCCATTACATGTTTTTTTTTAAAGATTTTATTTATTTATTTTTAGAGAGAGGGAGGAAGGGAGGAAGGGAAACATTGATGTGTGAGAGATACATCGACTAGTTGCTTCTGGCACGCCCCCAACTGGGCTGGTCCAGGCATGTGCTCTGACCAGGAATCGAACTGGTGGCCTTTGGATTCACAGGCCAGTGTGCAATCCGCTGAACCACACCAGCCAGAGCTCCATTACACGTTTTAAAAGCTACCTAGATCCAAAGACATTTAAAGCTAGAAGGGACTTTGAGGTCATCTAATAAAATTTCTTGTTTTCTGGCAAAGAACCTGAGATTTACAGAGACTACGGAACCATAACTGGAAATGAAGTCCCATAAACTTGCAGCCCAGACATGTCCCTGGTGCCACCTACCCACCCGACCTGCCTCCAGTGCCACCCTCCAGTGTGGGAAGTGGGGGCGCATTTATAGAATGTCCTGTACAAACATGTTTCAAAATGTACCTGGGGTTTGTTGTGAAGCAAGTGTGGTAA